TGAGACGTTAAATTTGAAATCGAGAAAAAAAATAGGGGGTTCCATTTGAAAAAAGCAACTTTTTGAGGTTTAAAAACATGCAAGTTTAGAGGCTAATTGCGTGGTTTAGAAGTATTTCCTTATAATTTAAAACATATCTGCACGTAGATCATGATGTTCTGTTAGAATCGCTGAAAACTATTTTCCAAAATTCGCAGCGGGTAGTGTACAGCATCGATTTCTGTGGAACCCAGTAGCTGTCAAAACTTTCACATTTTTACGAATAACTCGGAAATCGTAAATTTTTCAGGCAAAATGGTTGAAACAAACATAAATTAAAATTGAACGGCCAATCTGAAAATAACAAAAAAAAGGGGGGGTTTCATTTAAAAAACCAGAGTTGGTAACTACCACACGTTTATGATGCACCCTGTATATTGGAAAGTAATTTTAGAATGTGGACCTTTTAAACGTGAAAAGATTTCGTTGGAGGAATTTTCTTTTAAACTTCATATTTACTGAGATATCGCACTTTGACGCACTAATGAGCAACCCTGTATATGACAGTTGAATTAATCCGAGGACCAACTCGCCTGGCCGAATTATAAGGTCACTTATGCCGACTAGTCTTTTAAAATATCGTTTACGTTATGATCAGCATGATTTGAATATAAAAGATTTTACGTTTCGTGAATTCAGTCATAAAAGATTTGGTCATAAGATAGATGCTGTACTGATTCAATAGAGATCGAATATGGCTTGTATATTCAACAAAACTTGGGTCACCGTTTATACAAGTGCAAGCGAATACAGTTTTGGAAAATTTAGGCCATTTTCCTCTAAATTAAACCACGTACGTCCTTTTAAGTGCAACAGTTTATTAATAAACACCAAAAACACGAGAATTTGCCGAACTTATGATTCCAACGAGTCCATGTCTCCTTACTATAATTTTACTAACAGATATTTCCCTCATTTGCGATGTTGTCATAATGAATATTTTATCATGCTTTCTTGCAATTACCGCCTTAAATTCCGATAAATGTTCCAATTTTAAACTTCAAAGCTGTTTCATTTCAGTGACATTCGTCGTTTATTACCAACAAAAAAATTAAAACAACAAATATATTTTTATGCAACGTTTCCCGGATATTTTGTTGCTGATGGTCATATATAAAAAATCGATTTCCCAGCCAGTAAAGCAGATCGTATGATTAAGAACCATTGTTGCTTTCATCGAAAAATGTAAACAAATGCATCTGTTTAATCGGAGCCACACAAATCGGAATTTATGAATGACTATGTTCGTCTATCTATTAATATCTTTGGTTGAAACTCGGTTACCGTCACTAGTTAATTGTACGAGATTTTGATTTTGTGTTTTTTAAATAGAGCTTGATTTACTAGACATAATTGAGGACTATTCTTCTGAGTTGTTTTTTAGCTGATGCACATTTCGTTTGTGATGCCTTTAGTAGCTTTTGTAGTTTTATATCTATTTGCATAATTTGTTCGGGCTATTTTCATCTATAATTAACTAATATAAATTTAGTCGTCTTGATTTCTTATTTTAAATGATACACTTATAGATGAATTGCATCATTTTGCTAAATAAATTTAATTTCACTCATTTCACTCAAAAACTCATTTCACAGTCATGAATCAAAAAATCAATATTAATTAAAGATGAAGGTTCACAAACGCATGCAGAAATATCTCTTTGCAATTTTATTTTCGTCCACAGGGTGTTCACAAGTTTAGATATAGAAACCATCTCTTGATTTCCCTCTGTATAATAAGAAATCAATTCAAACGATTGACAAAATTAAGGATTGAGTTGCAAATGCGTACTATAGTCTCATGAAATTATGAAAATATATTTACAACTGAAAACGCTAGATAAGATTTAAATTGAAGTATATGTATCGTGACGGTTTATTTGTTCCAGAGGGTATTTCCTTTTGTGTATGACATGCTGGATAATAATATATTCGTTTGATAATATAATAGTATATTAGATAATAATATATTCGCTCGTTTTGAGACTGATTATAATAACTATTAGAAATATAATTGTGTAGTCCATGTGCGTAAATTATATACATATGGAAAACTAAAATTTGCATTCTTCGTTGAAATTCCTTTGTGCCTCCAACGTTCCTGTAGATGGGGACGTAACATCAATCATTTAGAATTTAGAAATATTTTAAAAACACGCCAACAACATCGACAATAATAAGAATTATTATGAAAACCATTAAATATAAACTAAATAACATCAATTATAAATTAAAAGCAAAGATTTTCACAGATCAGACATTTATCAATATGCTTTTCATAGCTGTTACAGAATTCGATGGTATGCTTCTACAATGTTAGCAAACGAGTCATTAACACCAAGGTTAAATTAAATAACGGATCAGATTTTACTAAATCTTAAGAATTGTGTAATCATATTTATTTAATTCAAGCCACTCATGATTACTACATGTATATCATGAATGTATATCACATATTTTCCAATCACTCTTAATAGAGTTACTGTTTTAGATTGAAATAGACAGGAGTGTGAGTGGTATAAGAAACACGGAAAATAATTGAAAAGTATCTAATATTTTTAATGCCTTAAATATAAATCGACACCCGTATTACAAAAATAAAAAATAATTGCAGTTTTTAGTAGAACAGAAGTCAATTGAATTATTTGTGATTTCTAACTAATGTATTTGACCTAACCGAATGCGCCCTCTGCACGATAGTTAATCGTGGGCGTAAAGGTGTCTAACCTAGTTATAGATCTGATCAGATATGCTGTAAGTTAAATACATAATCTATTGTCACGCAGCTGGGAACTAGTGAAGGGAATAAACGAATTTGTTTCAAAATTGACCGAAGAATAAAATCATGCACGCTTAGCTACTGCAAAAGTTGGATTATTGCATTACTCTCCAAAGAAAAAGGAGTAATCAATGTATGAATTGCCCAATAGGTATAAACACTTCTGGTAAAACACATGCGCACAGCACTCTTCATAAACAAAATTAAAAATCTAAGTCCAGAGATGTTCCGGTCAATTTCGATGGGAGAATTTACACAAGTGCCCTTCGACGAACTCCTTTAACTAGTTGCAGAGCAGAGTTTGAAGACAACAAAACAAACATTTTCAAATATTTTATAAAAGGCAGTTGCTTCGTATGGGATGGCGCGTTCTTCTACCAGATACGGAGATACATTGAATCATACATACCGAAATACGCCAAAACAGCTAATATGAACCTATAACTTTTGATATGTGAGGCTATACACTTTAAGCTATAACTTTTTCAGCAATCCTCCCAATCATTTCAAATTTTAACTACTTTTATTAAAAAGTGTCCTGCTCGAAAAACCCGTACGGTTTGACTTCATCAGTCCAGAATGTTTTCTCGGCAAGTAAACAGTAAAAAACTAATAGGCAACAGTCGTTGTTATTAGTTTTTTACTGTTTACATCGATGGTTATGCATTAAACGTTTTTCCGGGAACAATGTTCCAATCAATTCCTGCCTGTTTGGACTCGGGAAGACACGCAATATAAAAAAGGACTGCTTAAAATGTCGACCTTTGAAATTGCACCAATAGGGAAACTCAAATATTTTCATGCTGAACAAGGTCCTTTCATTGGAAAAGTTTATATACAGTACAGTACAAGAGGCAAACAAATAATAAAAAGCTATTGGGGTTATGAAATGGAATTATATGGAAATTATATGGAAACGAACTGACTACTTCCAACCACTAAAACCTATTTGAACAAACAATCATCCCACTTGTGCTTGGGAAAACATAGTCAATATTAGCCAGAAACTTTCACAACACAACCACCTATAATTTGAAAAGTGGTAAGCGGAAATAACAACCCAAACAATACAAAACAAACACAGCCCTAATATAAAATGTGGATAGATACCAATGGGTCAATTCGACGGTTTACCAGATTCTTTCTTGTGGGGATTTAAAAAATTTATATATCGTCGAACTGAAGTTAATGTATTGTATAAGTAATGTTATTTTCGCGTTTGAGCAATTATAGCCCATTGACATCATCTACGATGTAAAGTTTGCGAAGAAATGATGCTGAATTTCCATAAAGGAGAATGGTGGACAGTTTGGAAATATATTAAAATGTATTTTAATTTGACTGAATCGTAATTTGTTGCTTGCTTTATTAATTGTTGTTCCTTTTTAATTTTTACTATAAACGATTTAAATTCTGCCGTTACGTATTTAACTTTTTATCAAAAAGAATAACCCGCAAACCTATTTTATAAATTTGTGTATTCAACTTGCCTAGCTGACTTCAATTTTATGGTTAGATATTTTGACTGTTTAGCTACGGAATAATTTTAAATAAGAAACGAATGTTTTTAATTATTTCAACAACTGCTATAAACCGTATGTATCATATATTGTTTGATCTAGGGCTATCTCTGTTATTAAAATATACTGGGTATTTTATTTTAAAAAACATAAGTTTATCTTGTAACTTTTCTGACTTATGTTATTTATACTATACAAATGATTATCTATTAAAGCTGTATTTATATTGTTTTAATATTCCTAGTGGTAAAGGAGATAAAAAATAAAGCGGAAATCGTAAATTTTGCAATTTTTAGTTGTGTCTTATAGACAAATTAACAAAAGAAAAATTCAAAAACGTAATTTTCCTTCTTCTCTCGCTATCTGCCATGGTTTTGGAAATAATTTTTTACCTGTTTATAGCGTTACCCTGTCTCTCAAAAGCAAAAAAAAAATTAAAAAACGTTTCATGGTAACGTCACAAAACTCATAATATAAGAGAAGACATACTTACTTTTCCTATGATTGGTAATTCTACAGATCCCCAGGTATCGGCAGCCCAATGCACAAATCCCGAACAAAAGTCGGCCGTGAGAATTCCGAAAAATGCCGCCGCCACTATGCTACTAAGTTTTTCGATTTTTATATGTGCCAAAATGAACACAGAATTCACAGCCATCAGCGTGAGGCAAACTGCTACACAGATGCATTCTTGAATTCGTTTACCTGAAATTAAATATGGGTTTTGAGAAATTAAATATTATTTTCGGATTAGTTTGTTATGTCTCGCAGATTAACTTTTCACTAAAATTAATTTTGCACCAACCTTTAGAAACTAAATTTTATTGGATTAAACTAAACCCTTCAAGTACCTAATGCTGTAGAAGGCAGGCCAGATTTGATATTGTAAAGGCCTCTGGAATAATTTGCTCGCCCAACATAAAAAGTGTTTTTGTTAGAGGTTTGTTTTTTGACCAGACAACACTGTTACTGGTGATACCCATTTTTTCCTGAATAGACTTACGACAGAACCACTCTCGCAAATAGTGCAAATTTATTTCGAAAATCGCCGTTCAGTTTGCCAACAAGATTGCTCTTCTATCTATATATCGGTTTATAACGTTCTGCTACGACGAAGTGCCCTGTCGATACCTTCTCTCCAGCTCTTTCTCAGCCTTCCGGGTCGCCTTCGCCCTCTTGGCTGCCAGTTTATCACTTGCTTCGGGATTCGGTGTTCTTGCATTCTTTGTATATGACCTATGTATATACCATATCTGTTCCGTTATAGAATGCGTTATTCCCATCATTTCTCTTACTGCCTCGTTTGTTACGCGTGCTCTGCTCGATATTCCTGCCGCTCGACCCCAAAAATAAATTTCTGTTGTTTTTAGGCGTTTTTTCATCGCTTACTTCAATGGCTACACCTCAGATCCGAAGGTGGTTATGCTTTTTACAATCGCATTACAAATGGGCCTTTTGGTTTCTTTTTTGAGACTCCTGTCCCAAAGTAGTGCACTGAAAAGAACGATTGCCTTTCTGCGTTGGCATATTCGGTATCGACAAGTCTTTTGTTTACAAGTCTTTTCTTTTGTTTACTTGATGGTAAGTCCGCTTTCCAGATCCAGATCCGTTTGTTCTCCGCTTATCACCATGTGCGCTGTCTTTTGTGTCTTTACTTGCAGACCCCGTATTGATATTCTTCAATTATCGTCGTGGTCTTGCGCCATTACCACTTGACCATCGACGAGTTTAAGAGTATACATGGTCGTGCCTGAGATCGGTATGTCCATAGTATAGCACTTATCTTTTTATTTCTTCGAGATTCCCTACAGTTATATTTTGAATAAGGTCGGTGATGTACAACATCCTTGTTTTAATCCTTTTGATCCTATRAAGCCGGGTGTTATTAGTTTTCCTGATTTTATCTTYATTACARATTATTTGTAGATACTCTTAATGGCTTAAATTAGCTCTGCATTTATGYTCGTTTTCTTTAAGATTTCCYAGAGTTTGCTTAATAGGACATTATCGTAAGTTTTTTCAGGTCCAGAAATAAGAGATGGATTTGTTGGTTGCGGRCCATCCTTGTAACTATAATTATGTTAATAACTTTACTCTACTAAACCTACTAAACTACTTTACTTTACTAAACCTTTAATAACTTGCGTYAGCTCGCCCGGAATATTTCCCGGTTATGGAGACTTTTCTTASTTCTCCTATTGTTATTCTGAGTGATRACGTTAATATTGTCTRCATTGTTCGATTCGTTTATGTCTTTGAATTCCCGTCTATTTTCCGTGAGTAGTTCTTGRAAATACTGTTTCCATTGTTGTAGTTTAATTGGTTATGTGATTTCTCTGGTTTTGTTATTTCTGAGGTTATTTCTTTTTAATATTTTYWCAAATTTCTGAGTTGGTTCCTCCTATGTAAGTGTTTRTTCTTTGGCATCGCTTTTCCCAAGCATCGTTTTTMTTTTCACAGATCTTCCTTCACACCAGTGCTTGTAYCTTTTTATATTCTGATAGATCTTCTGGCTTTTTTGAGTTCAGGTATTTTTGATATTTTTTTCATTCATTTCATAATCACGAAATATTTATTTTCAGYGACGAGGATCATTTGTAGCTTAATGGTTACGTAAATAAACAAAATTTATCAAGAACGAGCARGGTTTTGCAATACACAGTGCAAWTTTTTACTAAATACAGAGTATATAATTGGTACCGCTTAAGGGTTCTGTCAAATTAAATGTGATCAAAAAACTATATCGACGAGGTACCTAATGAAAWCACTAATGAACCATTAAACTTTTTAAGAATATTTATCGMCTTGCAAAAAATTATCACAGTTTATGCAGTGTATTGCGCCCTAAAGGGACCGTTAAGGATTCATATTTTAAAATTGATGGAAAAAGCATAACCTCGCTGACGGGAATTCATAATTTTGCTGATGAAAATACTATCTAGATTGATTAGCTTTTTTTTAACTTACCCCTACTATATAAATTGGCTAACTCTTGAGCGCCGCGATGCTCAGGACCCCATCTGGGACCGCTTTCTTTCTTCTCCGGAACAACTGAGCAGTTCGCATTGGGATCATCTTCTAGCATAGAATTTTCCCAGATCTGTCTCTCCGTTTTCACAGGAGCCAACAGCGCGCAATCCAAAACTTGTTTAACTTTGGGCGAGCAACTGAGTGGTAGTCTGGGAATCTCCATTCTAAAATTACAAAACTGGTGTTAATGTTAAAGTAGGTAAAGGGTATTGAGCTGGTTATTTATGAATCACTTTCAATTTTCCTGGCCTGAATGCCACAAACGGACTTACAAAAGTGTCCTCATCTACCTCTATTATTCGTGTTTAGCTTGATGTAAAATACTACAAGTTTCATAATGTTAGGATTTGTTATTTTGCTTTCAATAAATTCACAGTTGACGTTAAATGCCACCACATACAGTCGCAAAAAAAGTTTCCATACATCAGTTATTTTGGAATACTTTTTCGTACTTTGCTATTGTATTTAAGTTTAAGTAGAACAATAATAATAGGAAAGGTTGGTAGGCTCCCTAGAAGTACTAAAATTAATAGTAAACATGTTTGAAACACTTTATTTGAATTATATTTAAAAAATCTCCATTCACTAACATTGCTTGTGAAAAATGGTTGCTTTCTTAAATGTTTATATTTTGTATAGTTGCCATTGGCTCTAAGGATGGCAGCAATCATTTTCGGAAGATAACACAAGTTTTCTTGTAACTGGTGGAATGGTTTCCCATTCTTGTCTGATCCTATGTTTGAGCCCTTCCTCATTTCGAACTTGGTGCTTTCTCCAAGTTTTCCAGCCTAGTGGTGTGCTTAGAATCGTCATCTTCTTGAAACATAACATATAATAAGTTTTTGAACACTTGTAGGTAAATTATTCCATAAAATATTTAAAACGGCATTAATTGCCAGTTCCATTGGCTGACATGCACCCCCACAATAAAACATCATCTCCTCCGTGCTTCATTGCAGGGAAAATATTTTCTTTTTATTTTTTCACTCATATAAAACTTACTTAATCCTTATCAAGTCCACTGTTCCACTACACTGTATGTGTTGTGTTCTGTTCTAAAATGTTTTAAAACATTGTTCCGTACTCACAATAAATAATTTTCCCGTTACTCCATAAAACGAATGAAGCTAATTTTGTTTCACCCTGTATACTTTCGTTGTTTACTTGCGTGTCTACTGCTTGGTTTTAAAATAGATCATCTCGATCGACCACCTGACAAATTGCCGATAGTCTTGTTTTACATAATGAAATTTCTCATTCCGAAATAAGACGACAAATGTAAAAATTGCCTTCCGATTTAAGCTCGATATCTGATAATTTTCTTGCAAATATGTAAAACTGACTATTTGAAACTGAACTGAATTTATTTAAATGAAAAGTTAAAAATTTAGATTTTCTAAACTTCACTAACTTAAATAAAACTCTTAGAAAAGGAATCCGATTCGTTTCCCGCGATGGAATCGATTTTGACTAAATTTAACTTGCTTTCACTGTTTTCCACAATGAAATCAGGAAAACTTATCGAATTCGATGGGTTTTCGAATATGGGAAATTATTTAGAAGACTTGAAAATGATTATTTTCATTCTGCGTATGAATGTGGGTTTAATGGTTTTTAATTTACCAGCGTATGTTGCTGGATTTGTAATAACCCTTCTTAGCGATTTATTTATTTTAAATAATGGTCCTACAAAAATCGTTTCTAATTAAAATACAAATAAATTTTTTTTAGATAATGAATTTGTTATATCTAATTATCCATGCTCAGTTATTATTTATTTTGTTGCTTGAAAATAAGAAAATATATGTTATTTTGGTACAGCAACTTTTCACTTGACGTAATACTCCAGTAAAATAAATCACGTCGAGTGTCAGAAAAATACATTTCTGCATAGCTTTTATCATATTTATTATTTATTCTTAACTCCTTCACTGTAAAGCTGGACTTTATTGAACTAACATGTGAGTTTGTATATTTATTTTTAGCAAAAAAAGTTCCAATATGTTCATGTTTCTTTGCTTAACGCGGCATTTTACCTTCGTAAATTTACCCAAATTGAAAACACCCCATTTATAAATCCATTCTTTTCAATTGCTGAAAATTGTTTGTTGTGGCTGGGAAAACAAGTAAGTGAAACCTAATAAAATAAAAGCTAATCTTGACTCAAATGAATACCCTTGGAAAAGTTTACTACGATTTTTAAAGAAATACAAATATCGTTTTTGTTTTGTATTAAGGTAATCCGATTAGTGTGTGTTGGGAAAAACTTGGTTTTCGTTTGGGTGAAACTTTTTTTACAGCGCTTGATATTTGATTTTGTATGACTTTTATGACTTATTGCGTTTCGATTATCGATGTCTGTAGTTATGAACGTAAATTGCTATTTTTTACTGTTCTTGTTCTACTGCGTTGTTGCGTCTAGTGGCGACTCGTGGTAAAAATGTTAAGGTGTTCTAAACTTTCTATGCTGTACATAAACTTATCAATTTTGTATATTATAAATCAAAATTTCCTGGTCGAACATTTTCTACTTTTCACTTTGCGCAGGTAGCTTCTAATTGATCTGGGAGTCGTTTGCACAATTTCTTCTACAGTTTCAGTTTTTTTACCTTGTATCCTAGATTGTTTGCTGTTGCAATTTTCAGAAGAAGTCATGTGTCTTTTAAATATTCTACAGTTCATTCGTAATTGTCCTTTATCGTAGTAGTATATGTGAAGGGTCCAGGGGGAAAGGGGGAAAGTCAAAAATAGTTAATTTTCAGGAAATCGATTTTTTATTTTAAAACCATTTTAGACTTATTAATTTATTAATTAGCACTGAAACTTTTAATGGATTTAATTTGTTATAGGTGTTTGGAATTATACTGCAGAAATTATTAATGACATTTAATTTACAATTTTTTTTAAACATAAAATAATGAATACACTACGGATACTATCGAACAGGAAGGGGAAATGCCATTCCATCTTCTTTACAAAAACCAGAAGCAAAATAGCACAGGTTATGAAATTAAATTTTATCAAATTTCAGTTTTTCTTTTCATTTTTTTTTAATTATTAAATATACAGAATATGCTCAGATTTTTTTTTGGGCATCTTGTAAGCTGAGGTTTTGGAAAGGTAGCCTTGTCTTTGACATTTTTGTTGCGGTAATGAAGAAAAATATTTTCTAGCTGTTGTGTTGAGACATTTCATTAAGCACTGTAGGTCAGTGAATTTGGCCAGTGTAACAGTCCTGCAAATAGATGAGAAAGAGTGCGTAGTTACCTTCGTATAACTGACCTGGTAATATAAACTCATTGTTTGGCAAAATATTGATATCCCTTTTTTCTTCGGTTCAATCAAAACAGCAGTTTCCCAAATGCCATTCCAAGTTGAGCGATGGCATTTGTTGTAAAGAAGGATTTGTTTGTAAAGAAGTGTAGTCCAGCATTTAAAAAATAAAAGTGACTTCCATAACATCAAAAAGATTTGGTTTAACTCTTGCAGCTCAAAAAACTTCAAAAGCTTCGAAAACTGCAGCCACAAGAGCATCCAGCAAGAATATCGCGCATTTATGATTTTCCTCCTTCTTACCATCTGGCGCGCGGACTTTCCTCCTTTTTAGCCACTACAGCATAATTTAAAGTAAGTATCGATCTGCTGACTTTCTTTTTTCGCCTGGGTGATGTTACTTGATGATAGTTCTGTGTGTTTAAAATCGAACGGACTGAACGGCTCAAAATGAGCAAAAATTGGCGTGCCCCCTTCTTAGCGTGTACCCTTATATATAAGCGTAAGATAAAATGAACATACCGACGTGAAGCCATTTATTGTATGACGAATAAATGCAGCTTCATTACAGGCTGTGTTGTTCGTGAATTGATCTTCTATTTCATTCAAACACTCAATTAGAGTGTTTCTATTTTGGTACACACTATTAATGGTTCGTATAATAAAATGTGAACGAATTGTATCGTCGCATGCTAAGGCATTGCCTTGATAAAACTGATCGAAAATTAAGAAGCCAACTGTGTGCAGCATTCGCACAATAATCATCAATGGCAAGTCAAAGCAATTCTTGTTGAAATTCACAGTTATTAAGACTTTATTTATCTATATTACGTGGTTTTCTGTTGACTTCAAAAGCCACTTAGCACAAATCTGAAATCACTTGTGAATTTATGTGCGTAACTACGAGGATCGTTTGATGAAAGAAACGCATGTTTCGAGAACCGCGAGAAATTATATTATTTGGAAGGGATAAAAAAAATTGGAAAGACGCTGGACTAAGTGTGTGTAAGTTTTAAAAAGGTGCCTGTAGGTATAGACCAATATAGTACATTGTTTCTGAAGATGCAAACCTTAGAAGTAAGATTTTTTAAAATTTGAAAACAGGGTGCCAAAGTGAAAATTTTACTTTCAAATAAAAACAAAAAGCTTGGATTTTGGTAATTGAGGGTTTTTTGACCTACAAAATCATCATTTGGTATAATTTTTTTTGCACCACTTAGACAGTTGCGTCGTAGAATGCTATTATTTACTTCTATTTCTCTAACTTTTTTGATTGTAACATTTCGGCAACTATTTGTATTGATTCTGAGAAAACTTCAGGAATAAGGCTTTTTCGTGTGCATCGCCCTGAACCTATGGAGCGAGTTGCGTGGGCAAATTGATCCAAGGGAATGTATAGTAAGTATCTCTACTTATACAGTCTGTTCTAAAAATTGAAAGAGAATCGTCTAGAGTTTATAATTTAGATTTCAATGAAATTGTACTTTTTAAAGAATTATAAGTCCACTGGCGTCCTGTTCTCGGAAAAAACGAAAAACATACCTATTCCTAAATTTGAAACATTTTCATTATGTCTATGTTTTGTCTTCGCCGTAGAATCTAATTGAGGCACAATTTTACTTGGGCCTGATAAAACAAATTCCCAACACTAATGAAGAAGCGAATTTTGATCTACAAAAACTCACAGCTCCAGGTAGGTGACCCCGTTTTCCACAAAAAAAGTATCTAACATTTTTTTGGCATCCACAAATTCAATGGCCCACATTAAATAATAATTCACCTGTAGTCTGAGCCGGTAGGTTATTCTACTGGTCGACTTTACTTGCGTGGTTCGCACTTAACTTGATTTTTTTAAATCGTTTATTATATAGCCAATGACAAGTATTTAGGTACTTCTTCAATCAAGGTGTTTTTTGGAGCTTTACAGCATTGCACCGCTTATGCACCAGCTACCACTGGTTGTGTCCAATTCAAAAGTCATTGCCTTATAAATAAATTCCAGTTAGTTAAGTGAATATTGTTCAAGTTAATTGAGTGAAGAAGTCTGGTGTTGTATTTTTATTTTCAGGATCAGAAACGTTGAGGAGTGAGTTAACGATCAATGGCCGACACTTTGATTTTTAAAATATTTATTTAAAATTTACAAATTTGGCTGTTAACAAATTTATGCAAACTCTCTGGAGGTTTTCAACTGACTGGCTGAATCTCTTGATTGACTTAAAAACTACCCTTAAAAATGTAATAAAATCCTAGATTAACTTACTAACAAAAAATGCACCTGCTTACAGGCCAGAAAATCTGATATACCAATTAATTGTGTTTTATTGCTCACACACCCTAAAAAGTGTTCAATTCGTGGGAACCAATGGGAACCATTGCACGGTAAGGGTGTCGTAAATTTGGAACCATAAAAGTAAGCCGGGATAGTTAGACCTGACATAACTAGTGTTTCTCATCCAGTGAAATCAGAGTTTCCAGAAACTTTTGAAACTGGCGTTAACTAACTGAAACATCGATTTAAATTAAAACCACTCACCACAATTACATTTTCATAAAGCTTCGCTTTTGTCAAGATGTTAAATGTTCCTGAATGGATATATAAAGGACTTTAGCGGTCGAGAAAATATCCTGTTTTAAGACGAAAATGTCACATAAACCTACAGGGTGTCATTCAAGTGCTGTCTGGGCGATTTAGTGAGTACAGGAAAAATAGTACAAACAAGTTCATTTTTATGAAAAACAGAGATAAGTGGCAACAATTAGATCAGAACGTGGGCAACAATGTTTTCCATAAAATCTGCCTCAATAACATTACGTATTTAAATCCCTGTTGTTTCTTAAATATTAAAAACTCAAGTAAAAATTTAATAGGTCAGGGTAAAGAGTAAATTCAACGGATGTCAACAATACCTACCTCCAATAAAAAGTTATGGCTATATTATCAATTTACAATTAAACCCACGGTAAGGGAAGAATAAATCAATAACCTACAGATAATAAAACCCCTTTTCACATAAAAAAATCCGTTATTATTTTCGACAGTAAAGGTTTTCGGCTTTTTCTCAAAAAACTATTCAGCGTCGCTGCGAAATCTGCATTCAGCAAAACAATTTTTATATTGGCTTTGTTGTGTATTAATCTTAAATTAAAATGGTTTTTGTCAAAAACTTTCTAAACTGGGTTGACACAGATAGGCACACAATCATAGACAAGTTCAATTTGGAAATTGTATAATGATGCCACGTGGCGATCTCTGTAAATTTCGACGAAAATTTAGGCATGATTGGATGTGGTATTGCGATAAGCCTCAGAATGTAGAATTTTATTACAGTATTAGATCTGCGTAAATTATTTTAAAAATATTAAAATAAAATGTTAATTTTGTACCCTTCTATCACAAAAACGGAGCGGTTTTTAACATATTTGATCTTTGATTTTTAGCATCTTTCTAAAAGTTTCTAAAAAATATTTGTTTATTTTGTTTTACTTTGTGACTAACAATGTTCTGTACTATTCTAGTAACTTACTGACCAAATTACTTTTATTTTAAATTTAGTAATAAAATATTGAGAAACTGTCTTATCTTCTTTAAATTCGTTTTTATGGTAATTTGTTACCTCTTTTACGTTCCTTTTAACCACTAGTTAACGGTGGGTGTAACTACATCACCACGTTATCAACTAGTGGTTAAAAAGCTCCCAATCATCATAACACATGCACATTCTCACATGCCAGTATTTTAAAATTGAATGTGGTATTAAATCACAAAATTTTTATTTTTTTCTTATTTTTGTGTCCGCATTACTTTCTAAATATTTTCAAGCGTAATTTTCACGAACCTCTAATAAACGAACTAAGTTCCAGAGGAACCTTTTAAACTCAATATATTATTTTGAGAGAAGTAGCTCGGAATGAAGAAGTCGGAACGCAATGTGCGCTTAATAAGCTTAATAAAGCGCTACTTCTTACAAATTATCAAATTCGAATGAGTACGATTATAATTTTATTTACGTTTTATATCATTTTCAATTTTTTATGTTCACTGTTCACATGTAATAGAAATACTGAGTTCATTAAATTAACTAAGTATTGAGTGCCATTAATGATGGTTTAATGTTGAGTACTCACCGGAATGCAAATTATGAACTGTATTATTGAATCCCGTTTGAACTTTTCAGTTTTGATGAGCTTACACTTCACTCGCCCGTAGACCGCAAAAATTGTTTACACTTTTTCATATACCTATCTGATCAGTTACCTCACTTAAATAATTTAACCAAACTTAAACAGAACAGGTCATATCCAGTAACTGGCGTATGATATCATAAACTGAGTCACATGGATCATGATAAATTAAAGTGACCTGCCATAAAGAGAAGCGACAAGCCATAAACATTTGTCAGAAAAAATCAAATCGGATAACGATAAAAATTTGGTATCTCTCTGATAGCTGCAGTTGCAATATTATGTACTTTGTTCATCCAAAAATTGATCTTCTAGAGGCAAAGGCATACTAGTACTTCAGCTTTCATTCATGTTTGTAAAAGATTCGTAGTAAAATCGTTTGGTCTCTGTTTCATTATCAAATCTACTAGTAATTCTAGTAAGCTGCCGAGAAAATTACGATTAGTAACGATGCACGGATCAACGTATCTAGAAACAATACCGAGCAAGTTTAAATCCAGAGCGCGACTGAATGAAATGGTTAAAACCGGAATCCTTTGAAATTTGGAACAGCGTCGTTCGTGTATGTCAATTGATGGATCGGTCAGGATTGGTGCGCTTGGCTGTTGGAGACTCCTCTGGTGACGCGCTAAAATCTATAAAAAAATAACTTTACCTTTCAAGAAATGAGTTTATTCCGTTTAGTAAATCATGTGCCAAATCAACTTGCAAATTGACTTTCATGTTGTTGATAAAAAGGCAAATAGAATAGTACTTCATTATTTTGGTTATTATAAAATTAACTTTGATATGCCCTGAAATCCAGCTACATTCCTTCTCATTGATCGCTTCAAAATTACAAAGCGGATATTAAAGTTTATTTCAAGACTGCTTTATAAAAAATAATAATTCAGCTACGGATTGTGCTAATACTTTCATATTGCTTATTTTTTTCCTTTTATAAAATGTTGTCATAGGTACCATAATTGCACTTCCCAGAAGTACAACTAATTAGTTCGCAAACGGAGGCAGCTACTAATATACTTCAATACATTCCAGAACAATTTCTCCCTGGAAAATGGGAGGTTATTTATTACAATAGTTCAAATTGTTAAACAGCTGGAAAATTAAGATAATTAAAGCTCAAGGTTTCGCATTATTTAATATTATTTGTACACAGTACATTCTCATGACCATACAAACTGTTTCAAAGTTGGCGTCATTTCTCTGGACGTTTTGTTCGGTATATTTAGGAAATACCGAAAAAATTGTGAAAATTTTACATTCTCTATAATTGTATGTAATAACAGTCTGTTTTAATCATCTAAAAATGGCTTTCATAATATTAAATTTTTTCAATTTTATTTTAAATTTTTTATTTTTTTTTTCAAATTTATTCAATCATAAACATTACATAAACACCTGTTGATCAATCAACCAAAATAGTTATTTTAGTGATGGAATTCGTCACTCTAACCATCTGAGAAGAGTTTAAAGTTTCGGCATCTAGATTTTCCATTATCCTTTAGGTTTCCAAATGAATAGCTTTATTCGTGGTAGCGATTCAGGATTTAGACAAGTATGGAACCAGGCGCTTTTAGAACCACCTTTTAGTAGTACCAACAGGATTTTAGTCACTTTCTGCCTAAGAGTAATTTTCCTAAACTGAAATGCCATGGAGTGAAAGTGGAAAAGCCGATTTGCCGGGGTTTATATGATTTTTAATGATATGCTTTCTGTGCGAAAAAATAATTATTAAGGTTTTTTTGTTTATAAGGCATTTAATTAACTAATTTTGATCAGAACGCCATTGTAAAAAAGAACTTAAAATTGCCTACATATGTATGTTTGCAATTTTTTCAAGCCATGCAGTTTTACGAGGACCGGGACTATAATTATTGAAAAACTTTCTTGCAAATATTTTTTTCCATGGAACATATATAGGGTGTCCCGTAAGCACATGATCAAAAGGCGACTGCGATATTCTTTGCATCAAAAGAAGACGATCTGACCTAACTTTTATTACCAAAAAATATCTAGCGTCTCTGCTATTGATGGTCAAAGTTCTTCAAAATAATTATGTTTTTTAAAAATCGGGAAAATGGTATTAAGTATTTTAGTGAAACTCTCTGTGAATTTGTTCATATGTAAGACTCATATTTTGATGAAACAATCGAGTTCATCCGTTTTGGACAAGTGGTGAATTCTGGAGTGTCGTGGTACAAAAACTACCAGAACTTTTTATTTGGAGGATAAAATCAACTCATTTTTTTGGTTGATGCACTAATCATTTATTCGCAATTTTGTACTCTTTGTAAAATCTTGTTGCATTCATATTTTTTTGGGAATTTTGCATTTAATGCATTGTTAAGTGGCAAGAAAACAGACATATTTTTTTGCGCAAAAACTATGAATGCTACAAGATTTTACAAAGAGTACAAAATTGTGAATAAATGATTAGTGCATCAACCCAAAAAAAAAAATGAGTTGATTTTTATCTTCCAGGGGAACTTGAATTAGGAAAAGGAATGCAATGCTGGTGGCACCCATTGTACCACCGGCCGACAAAAAGTCTCCGGCAAACAAAAGTATCTTTACTTTACTTACGGACAGGTTCTGAACCAGTTCTTACTGTACCGCGAACATAGAACTTTGGGTTCAGAATTAGGTAGTACCTCTACGCGCATGCGATTAGTCTCGAACCAGTTCTGAATCGTCACCGTGAATAAAGCTAATAATATACATACCTGAACATCAATGCGTACTATCGCTACAAACATGTTTTCTCAAATCTTCCCGATTTGTTCCAGAAGCGTTCAAATTCAATTTACATCAACATAGTTTTCATTATTTACAAGAATGCTGTAGTTTCGTTGGCTGTTAAAGTAACGTTTTCTGTTGGAAGAGTTAATGGAAGTTGGCAGAGATAAATAATTTCTTTGAACTATAACTTTTCGGGGTTCTTTCTTTTGAAACTTTTGTTAAAAAAAACTTTCAATGGCATTCCCTGTCTGGTATTATCTAAGTAACCTTCTTTCGGCAATATATTTCTAAAATTTGACTTTATTATTTTCTTCGAATTCCTTCTCAAAACCTTATCCTGTACTGGTTCATACTTGATATATTAATTACCTGATTTCTTGGAGCTGCATTCAGGTTTTACTTTATTTGTGATCAGCTGTTACTCCAAACTCATCTTCTCAGCGCAGCCAGAAAATTAGAAGCGAAGATTATAGAAGCCGCAGGCTTCACCACCTAGAGGTCCTATAGGCATGCCTTCGCCTTCCCAACGTTTCTTAGGTGGCTACCAACATAGATAAAGACGAGTTACCAGGCTACCAAAGAACAAGACAAGGCGACTAAAGTCTCGACCCGACGCTGCTCCCTTGATTTAACATCTTGCAGATCCACTGTAGGACTTTTATGACTGGAGATTTTCCCCCTGCTCCTCTTTCGCTAAGTTTAGGGCCCCTCCCGTCTCCCACCAAAAAAGATATTCCTAAAGATGACTCTCGAGAACACTATTTAATTTTATAATAATAATAATTTACCTAATAAACATACTTTAATTAATATTAATTGATGCACTATCTTGGAATTAGAGTTTCGTAAATAATACTCATCATAACAAAAATGACAAAGCTTTATTATCGTATAATTTACAATGAATACATCTTAAAATTACATATTTCAGTTATATAGCGTAATTAATACTTGGGAAATTAAAGATACCGAATTGAAATGTTCGATAAGTTAGATTTACAAAAATCATCATTACAAATTATTTACTTTCTTAGAATGAAACAGAAAAATTCTTTTACACCGACTGAGAGAACAATTGTGGTAATTTCAAATCAAATATAACAATGGAAAATACTATAATTATAATGCACTCCCAATCACAATTCTTAGGTATATTAAAAACATATTATTGTGACAAAAAAAGGGTTAACTGACCTTAAATTATTTTAATCCATGCTTTCAATTTCAGCAAATTTTATAGGCATATTATTGCGAGAACCTTGGATAGTAAATACTCCAAATAAACTTTAAAAAAATGACGTGGAAACAATATATATTAGTGTATTTGAGATTAAATTAATTATATCTAGCAAAAAATAAAAATTAGGAATGTAAAATTTAATACTTATCAAAAAATAGCGCATGTTGTTTACACGTTTCCCAGGAGCTTCAAAATAACGCTGTGATGTACTGTATATGTTACCGTGAGTTTGATTATTTCGGGCATTATTTATAATGTCCGGACATATTTGAGAAATGTCTGATTAAATCTGGTATTTAAATAATTAATGTTTAATTAATAATGTTTACAATAATTTATTAAACTATAAAGACTCGATCTCTTATAAGATAAGCTCGTTAACGCGAAGCAAGATGGTGCAAGCGATAAAGCACCGAAAATGTATGCTGATTGGCTAGGACGAATCTTACCATACGCAAATAGATTTACATCAATAAACAATTTGATGTAAACCCAAATCGGCTAATGATGTATGCGACGTAACCTGCGAGAAAAAGCACAGTGTAGCAATAAAAGGTTCTACCGATCCTAAGTAAAAACATGAGCTCATCTTGAGTCCAAGTCGATTCAATAGACATGCAATCGCAAGCTGATGACCAATTTAAGTTCATATACGAAGATCATTTAACCTAGTTTATTCAACCTCTTAAAATCAAAAGAGATAGACCGCAACTTTATGCTAGGAATCAATTTTCAATATGTAATGAAGTCTATTGAAGCCGAAGAATTACCCAGTCACAAGAGAGAATGTACAACATTGTCATCCAAGACGGGAGGGTCGAACATATAGACGACCGGGCTGTAAATTGTAATGTAATTTAAAAAATTTTGTGTGTTGAGAAATTATGAATAAAACAATTTTCAAATTGCCCACTAGACTTAGCATCACCAGCATTATTCATAATGCCCGGAAAATGTGATATTTTGTACATAATTAATAATTTAGTCATCCCTTTGAGCATTTTTTAAATGCCCGGACATTACAAATAATACCCAATTATTTACATTGCCGGTAACATATACAGCTCTATAACAGAAATGTCTGTTTTGCATTTACGTTAGTTTTAACAATTATTAGTGATTTGCGTTATTTTATATGAAACTAAGTTTGAAAAAATCCGATTGCAGCTAATTCTAAATAGCCAAAAATGTATTCAAAGTACTCTAAGCGATGTCAAAGATGACCTATATATTTTAATAGCTTTTGTGTAAATTCCTGAAAACTAGTACTTATTCGAGGATTTTCTTGTCGTTATAATTGAGCAACTGAACGGGTAAGAAAGCATAATTGCATAATCCCATACTAACCAATATTACCTTATTTAGCAAATTCTCAGTTCTTGCGAAGTTGGTGACAATGTCTATATTTCTTGTTCAATCTTAATTTATTTCCACAAATGAAATTCGCACACAGTATACATATCAATCATCAAATTATAAATAAGGTTTGCAAAATCCATGATTCGTCGGAAGACAGTTTTCCAATACAAAAAAAAATTCTTTGCTAATTGATTCGAAACTTGCAACCAGATTTCAACCGAATAATGTTGGAAAAACACAACGCTTTTCTAACGAAAAACATAAATTGGACAGACATGTTTTCTCCCATTTAATCTCAAAATAAAACTTGCCAACTGTTTGTAATGACACCCACTACACTTTTCAATCCGAGTGTGTAAACTCTACTTCTGATTCTCCTTCCTGGAGCAGTTGAAGAATTAGTTCGTAAACTGGCTCAAATGCCTGTTTGCATCCCGTGTTAGTCAAGAGAAGATAATCGTGCATATCATGATGACTAATAGTACCTAAATATACAACTTAAAAATTGCTTTTGCACCTTAATACTGATGGAACTTACCATCTGGTTGTATAAATCCTTTATCGATGGAAACTAATTCAAGCTTTGGCATATTCGCCAAACTAGCCTTAAGAAGCTCATTTACCTTTGCTAGTTTATCCCTCAGTGCATTGGGGTTTTGACCTCTCGGTAACAATGTCTAAAAAAACATTTGTATATAGACAAACAGTGTGAGTTTAAATGATTGAATAAATTCGAAACCTATGATTCACTTTCCGGACAAAATCGAAATACGTATCTACTTTCATTCTTAATTTTCTCCTTGCCAATGTAGAATACAAATTTACCCGACCAATGGTTGGATGATGGTACGCCACTTTTCTTTCTATAGTAAGAACAAGTGATATGCAATTGGGGTTAAGGATTACTCCTTTTAAGGGGTTATAGAATTAAAAAATATTGCAATTGTAAAATATTCAACAAGAAGTCACACGGTTGATGGTGGTGGTGATGGTTGTGGTATGCATCTAATATGCATACGCAGATTGGATTTCGGATTTTTTTTTTTTTGGAAAATTTGGCTGTTTCTGTAATCACTCGTGTTCTAATTTAACTTTTGCTCAGCTTGAAAAACAACCAAAATTAATTTCAAATGACATATCATTACGCATGAAAAATGTCCAGATGATTTTTTTAGGTGTTAAAATTCCAGACCCGGACTTCGTAAAGCTTTAGGTTAAATGCTTAGCGTAATTCAAAGTGCAGCGCTGTGACACGCGATCTGTTATAACTCAGTAGCGCACAGAGCGGTAAAAACTCAAAAGCGCAACTCAACACAGCGTTGCCCACGCCTGTGTCAACCTCGCCTCTCGACATGAAGATGATAATTTTTGCCAAACCATCTTTGTTAAATGAAAAACTCTGAAAGCATTAAGTAAATGCTTACTGGTAGTACAATGTATACATCTGGGTGCCTGTCTCTAATTGCCTGAATTATGCTCAAAATTCCATCTTTGATTTCTTCAGCACTATTATTATAGTTATTAGTACCAACATGAAGCACTATAACCTAAAATGAATAAATAGATATCCTTAATAAACTAAGAATTAAAGAGGTTCTGTTATCAACAAATTGCCTACCTACCTACGTACTAGGAAAGAACACATTGAAAAGCTAATTACTAAATTTAAGTAAAATATTTTCAGGCATTAGTGAAAATATACAGGGTCACTTAAAACTGGCGTCATTCTCTTGCAGAGGTTACTGGGGCATACTTGCAAAGTAGGCGAAAATGCAAAAAAGTATAATAGTTCAATTATCATATAGCTAAATAAACATAACAAGTGAAACTTACTTCTATTTTTGCAAAATTTCAATTTGGAAAAACACAATTATTTTAAAAATCAGAACTATACGCACAACCAACGATTCATCCAGGCACATATTTGTTCTCAACTCTCATATACATATATCAATCTCAACTATATCAAACACATTTATGTTTGACCTAGCTCTTTTTAAAGGCTTTTTTAGCTAAATTTAAAAAGTTTCAAAATAATGCATCTTTCTGTGACCAGACTTTGAATTGGTCAAATATTTAACATAGTAGACCAATGTAATTTGAATTAAAGCTCGTTCATACGGTGACATTAATGTCGTGACGTGAATTCGCGAGTTCAAAAGTCCAGACGGCCCCTGGTGGCTAAAATTATAACTACAAGTTATGTAGTAATTTGACACCGGTTTTGTAGACATTGGTGTTTACATCTGTTTGTGATTTGTTTTGTTCTCATCAACTTTTGCAAGCTTTTAAAGAAATAGAAAGAGATCGAAAAGTGTGTAAGTATTATTTTATGTTATAAATGTCATCAACTCCAATAAATAAATAAGTCTCCCAAGTCTCAACTGTCACTCGACAACGAGTAATTTGACGTTATGCAGCGCCCTTATCGGTAGTTGAACTCGCGAATACCGCAACAATATCATTCTCTGACGTTAGTGTGACATATCAAAATTCGAGAGTACAAAAGTCCAAACGCCCACTGGCGGCTAAATTATAACTACACTATAACTAGTAAAATTTGACACTTGTTTTTATTAGATGTCATTGTGATTTCTTTTAAAAGAGTAATGTTTACGTTATCGGAATGCTTAGTTATACATATGTATATCAATCACATGCCATTTTCACAGTAGACCTCCATTTAAATATTACCAAACCAATTATATTGCTAAATATAGTTCGTGTTAACATATTAAAAGCCATACATAAACTTATAACCGATAATCGTGGAAACCAACTTAAAATGTCTTGAAATTAGTGCTGTACCTTTGGTTTAACATTATCTAATTCGCCATTTTGCACCCTCCACAACACATTTTCCACTCGATCTCTGTGAATTCCAAAATTCAAGCAATGTAAAGGCACAAATAGGTCATCCCACACGTCCGTATGCTGCAAACCCTGAATGATAGAGTCGCCGATGAATATTACGTCTGCATCTTTTTCTTGTATTTCGGAAAGGAATCTATTGTGCTGAAAATTGTTTAATTCAATGTTATATGACAAACGTTCTTACCTCCGTTTAAAAAAATGCGATTTAGTTATGCATGGCCAATACAATATAATTGTTTGCAGCTTAGTTACTGAAATAGTGCACATTGTGAATTGGGCAAAATTTTACTAAACGTCACTAAAATGCAATCAGACAAATGAACGACAAATATGTTAATACGAACGACATCCTTTCGTATATTAAATATATTAAATATTTCCTGACCAACTGTATAACAATTACGAACTCACGAAGGTATTAGTATTAATGTATACTCTGTAACTTATACAGACAAATTATCTTAACAATAAATAAATTATTCTTATTCTTAGATAAAAAACAAATAGCACTGTTAGAAACGAAATTGGCAAATTAAAATGGAAACAATTCGGAATTCTAAATTCCAATATCTATACTGATAACACTTTTATCTGCAGTAGCATCTAATAAGATCTAATTGCAATAAATTATTCGTAGGATATAAAATCCAAATTCGCTTTTCCCCTTTGAAATGCCCAACTAAACTGCTCAAGAAAATAAAAGTTACACGGACTAATTTTGAAGTATCTACGGGGTGGCAAATGAAACAATGCAAAATTGGTAAAAGTTCCACATGCGCTAGGTTTTACAAAAAAAAAACTTTTTTTTCCATTTCAACGACACAGTACCTAGTATCTCAATTTTTTTTTTCGAAACGGACATTTTTCGTCTATTTCGTTTATTTACAGAGTGGTCTCAAAAAAATCAGCCTTTTCGTCTTGCAGTGATAGTTTTTTTCGTTTGGCGTAAAATCTAAAGCCTATGTTGCAGCTAAAACTTCGCACGGCTTGAAAAAAAAAGTTAATATACAGGGTTGCATGAATGAACGAAATATTTGAAAATTAATTTCACTTTAGTTGAATGTCTGCCAGAATCACAGATTTTGGGAGCAATTCTGATTTGAGTCAACGTGAGTGCAACCCTGGATATCGTATTTTCATCTTACATTGTCCATACAAATTTTAGCCTCAAAATGAGCTCTCGATAGTGAACGATCAAGAGGGATAAAGTTATCGCTGCAAGACCAAAAGTTGAATTTTTGCGAACCCGCTTTAAACAAAAGAGGTGGCCGAAAAATTAAAAAACTGTTTCGAACTGTTTGGATTATCTTCAACCTTTTGGTGTTGAGACCCAAAAAACCTAATTTTTGTTCAACTAGGAGCATGAAAGTTTGAACGTTGAATTGAAGATAACGTTTGAAACATAAACTAAACCGCTCTAAGCAATCAGAATATATACAGATTCAAAGTTGGGGCAAATTTGGTTGTCTATTCAAAGTTCATGTTGTTGAGCAGTTTAGTTTAGTTTCATTAACTAGTTATGAAGTGCTTTCTGCTTATCATTGTTCCAAATTTACACAGTTTCCTTTGTTGATTAAGAACTAAAATCAACTCGCTTTCCTGGAGGACAAAAAAAATTATTTTGTTAGGCCTTGACGCCTTTTATGAATTAATTTAATTAAAGCCGTCGTCTACTTTTATTCTCCAAAAGCAAATGCAGATTTTTAGATAATTTGTATTTTTTCTGAGCCCGTTGGCCAATTTTACAAAAGTTTTCACGCCGATGTGAATACATTGGCATTATAAAGTGCGGATCCGGTCCTGGCGGTGCCTGAGGTTGGCGCATTTCGAAATCTGCACTTGCCTATTTGAAAAGCTCATGACGGCTTGGCTGATGCCGAAAGCTTTTCTTCGTTCATTATATAAAGTATTTACTGCTGATATGTTTATTTTGATTTTAGTTTTCATTCTTGTTATAACTTTCTATAGAATCCCTGATCTCCTTTCAGTCGTCTAGTGATATTAAAAACTATACCCATGGGACGGTATTATAAGTGCATATGTTCTACCAAAAAATGTGCATGCAACTAGACAGAAAAACAGGAACATTTGATCCTAGTTAACAACCAAATAAGAGCTACTTTCCTTAATAAAACCTGGGAATTGTCTAGATGTTTTGAACCTCGCGTTAGCGTTTAACAATAGGCTCGAGTTATAAAGACCAACATTTTTTCATAGTGGTGTTTTTTTTTCATTAATTGAAACTCATCACTTTGCTATAAGATAAGATTTTGTTTGGGTTCAATAATCCAAATGCCACTGAGTCATTGTTTAGAATCAGACTTTTTCAACAAATATTTTCTCTCAAACATTTATTATTTAATTCTTTTATACTGGCATCATGCCCATTTTTATTTGTTCAAATAAGCCATCAAAAACTTTTGTTAGATTTTGTAAAAGGGACATGACTTTTCGGAAAAAATACTCTGTATTATTTATTATACAGGGTGTTACGTAAGCACATGATCAAAGCATGCTGCGATATTCTTTGCATCAAAATAAGACGATCCGACCTAACTTTTATTAACAAAAAATGTCTGGCTCCTTTGCTATTGATGGTCAAAGTTCTTCAAAAAAATATATTTTTTGAAATATCGGGTAAGATGTATTTTAGTTAAACTCGTGAGTTTGTTCTTATGTAAGACTCATATTTTGATAAAGCAATCGAGTTCTTCCGTTTTGGACAAGCGGTGAATTCTTGCGTGTCGTGGTACAAAAACTACCAGAAGTTTTTATTTGGTGGATGAAATCAACTCATTTTTTGTTTGTTTGATGTACTAACCAATTATTCACAATTTTGTACTCTTTATAATATCTTGCAACATTCATAATTTTTGTGAAAAAAAATATTTCTCATTTTTACTCCAGAATACACTAGTTGGAGACTATTTAACAAGAATGTGTTTTTGTGTCAGCAATATATTAAAAACAGAATGCAGATTGAAAGATTGGCACTTTTGCCTTGGACGGTATACAGCAACATTCTTGTATACAGAAAACAATTTTGGATTTAAACCTAAAGGATCATAACTTAATTTAGTCGATATTAGGACTGAATATTTAAGACCTACATACGTAACCGATGATTAAAAAGTTGGTCATACCGAGGACAGCTTTGATGCAGACTCTATAGGGAAAATTGCATTCATAATAAACAAACACTGTATTGTTCTATACCTGAAGAAAGAATTATATATGAAGAATAACTTACTAGACTTAACCATCTATTATCACCCACTACATCTTCAACAGGAACCGGTATTTTACACAAATTCATTTTTAATACTAGAATACTACATATACTATATACTACAATAGTAAGATAGATATAGAGAAAAACACACCACAACCCCAATTCCGATAAATTCTATATCTATATTGCACTGACGGAAACCATTAAGGAAGATTGTAGGGTCCTTTGACAACATCGCACTCGACTCTCCCATGAAATATAAAAACCCCAGCTTTCTTTTTTATTTATTTAATATTCAATATCAATATGCAATAATGCGATTTTTACGCAGGAAGAATTGCTTAATAGCAACGTTGTTAAAACCAGAATGACCTGAAAATTTAAAGATACTTTATGCATTTTCAGAGCCTTGTGGCGAGCAAATTTTACATAATAATTTTATAAACTTTTGCTCCCTGGCGGTTTTTTCAAGATAATCTTAATTACTTCCAGTAAAAAACTGAGTAAAATTATTAGGTTTTTGTCCCAAATTCGAAGCTGAAAAGGATTTTCCAAAGTTCCCTGCAAACCGATGAACCAGGCAAATTTTCTAGCAAAATTAATTTTGTAATTTTTGGCTGAAAAACCCCATTATCACAAAATAATGATTTTTTGGGTTTTCGATTTAAAACGCTTTGTGATCGGTTGTGGAGAAAATATTAATGGTTTTTGGGGAAAAAAACGGACGGAATTTTTTTCGTTTGTCTCCAATTCGACGCCGAAAAAAGTTTTTGTAAAATTTGTACACGGCTGTAAATTTATCTTGTGATTTTTCGGGTAAAAGGCCTCCAGATCGTCAGTCGTTTTAAGTGAAACTCTACAAAATAGAGTTTTTTAGTAGAAAGTAAAGCAAAAAAATCAGTCAAACCTAAAAAATCACGTTTTTTAACAAACTCTACAGTCTTCAGAGGAATTGAGGTGACGAGATTCCTAAATAATCTGTTATAAACTTTCGCTTATTCTGTTCGATTTTTAATAGAAAATTATTAAATTTTTGTTCCAAATTCGACGCCGAAAAGTGATTTCAAAACGTTTTACAAAGGCCAAGGATTCGAAATGTTTTTTATTTATTTTTCACGGAAAATACGTTAAGTTTGGCAGCATTTTTAACTGAAACTTTTAAATAAATCTAAAAACAAGTGCAAAAAGTCACCAACATTTTATCGGCAACAGAACTGAGTTACTGCGCCGGTGCGTGGAGTTGGCGCCAACTCATAAAAATTCATTGAGTTACCCAGGCCTATTGTCAATGCATCTGTTCCTTTTTATTAATTGCAGGATTTCTTCCATTTTCACTAAACGAAAATTAAGTATTGTTCTTAAGTGTTTCAATAACCAGGAAAAAAAAACAACTTTGTGCAAAAGCTGATGAAATATAAGTTTGTATCATTGACTTGAAGATGAGAAAGGCCTCAGAAAATGAAGATGAATGTCTAATATTTGCCTCGTATTGTTCATCCTGCTGACATGGTCTCTCCACTCTCTTCTTCTATTGCGACCAAATCTTGAATGTCGCACTTTGTTCTAGTGTCGTGGCTTCTAATGCGGTCCCGCAAAATGATCCATTACTATTCAACATTATGCACGAAATAATAAGACAAATTCGCAGGTAAGGGGGATATCGAGTGGGAGATCGAGAGGTAAAAATCCTATGCTCTGCTGATGATGCAGTTTTAATGAAAATGAAGATGATCTGCAGAGGCTTCTTTGTACATTTAACACAGTTGCAAAAAAGCTCGGGATGACAATATCAATATCTCAGACGAAATGCACGCCACGTCTAAAATAACTCAGAGATGCAAATTAGTGGTCGATAACAAGACAGTACATCAAGTGATGAAATTGAGATACTTGGGATATTTCAAGCTTCGGTGACATAGAACCGGAACTAAGAGCACAAGCAATCAAAGCAACAAGAACGGCTACACCAATCAACCTCGCAATATTTCGTAACAAACACATGAAAACAAAAGTAAAGTCCATATTTCGAAAACTATAAGACCCATATTGGCATATGCGGCAGAAACAAGACCCAAAACATCAAAAACAAGGCAAATTACGAAAACAACAGATATGAAGATAGTTCGAAGAATAGCTGGAAAAACTCTGCGGGACATCACTCTCTGGACACAAGCATGCCATATCGACAATATGAACGACTCGGTGCTGAGCAGAAAAATTGAATGGAATGACCATATCACACGCATGGCAGAGGAACGAATAGTGAAGATTGCCAGAGATAAGTCACTTTCGGGGAGGCGAAGCACAGGAAGGCCACGAAAACTGTAAGTGACAAAAAGCGAGTTCCGATGAAGAACAGGCATTGTGCCTAATTGGAAGATGCTATATGTATATTTTGCTAAATTACATTTTTCAGTCAATTCTCGATCAATATGACTTTCCAGAACATTCAGTAATAGAGTTTCAAAAGTATGAAAAAGCACATATGCTACTTGTTTACTCTTTATCGTATCCCAGTATTGTGACCAATTTATATTGATTGCGACTGCATATCAACAGAGAAATTGGAAGTGATTACAATGAGCGGGAAATAATAAATCATAATTTTTACAAATTTCATAGTACATATATTAGAGGACATATATACATACAAATAATGAGTTAATTATACATATGCTCTTCTAGTCAGTCATCGTCGTAATTAACGAATAAAAAAAATTAAGCAAGCATTCCATCGCTCTTGCTTTTCACCCTATATTTGCTTCTCTTTGGTGGTAGTTCTCTACATAATCTAAACCAGAAGTTGGCATCTTTGGATACGTTCCATTGAATGATGTTAATTTTGCTCATTAACGAACGAAGTGATTCACCACTGTTGTTTTTGACTTCTGCGCCGCTTACGGGAAAACTCCTAACAGTTACATAAACAATTTTGCAGGTATTAATTGTCTGAAAATGTTTAAGCACTTGATATAACTGAGCTGATGTCCATATGTCATTGAGTGCAGCTGGCGACAGAATTACAATTATTCTACGGGACGATTCAGCGTACTGGGAAATCTCTGCAGCACCTGAAAAGTAATATTTGGTTATTAAGGAACAGTTGTTCTATAAGCAGTTGGGAACTTAAATATGTTTTTAGTTTTTTTGAATATAATTATCTAACTGTAGAAATCGCGCATACCAAATATTAGCCCTCAAATCGCAATATTTAATTTGCAATAGCAATAAACAATTAAAGTTGTGACCGCAGGCTATTCATTTGAAACGACCCCATACGCGCGCTAATGGTCGTGACGTCATAGCGCTAGTTCGTTCGATCGAAAAGCAATACGGTAATACTGCTTGTTGAATTATGTGAGTGTTTGGCTGTTCAGAATTCGTGCTGTGCTTTATTAATAATCGAAACAACACAAAAACAATATTACAAATGCTATATGATGCCACTGTGTCCTAGTGCAACTTTCAAAACTCTATAAAGTTAAAGTCATGCAGAAGAGCTCACAAGGATATTTCTGAGAAGACTGTGCATCTATGTGAAGATCATTTTAATGTAAGTATAAAAAACAGATTTGATTTTGTATACTGTAGATCAGAAAGTATCTACGAGAAAAAAATCTCGTTTTATCGCCGTAAAGTAAGATATCTTACTTTTTTGCTAATCAGAGCAGTGCCAAGAATTTTAAGAACCTTAATATTAATTTTCAAACTTATTTTTGGGCTTTAAATCATTTTTTCGGGTACACTTATATGACAAAGAATATGCGACGCTTACACCTAAAATCAGTATCGTATTTCAATGATTTATAAAATTATTTTCTATTACCATTTTAAAACTTATTTTAAAACTATGGCTATATTTATTAACAATATGAGTCATGCTCTCAACAAAAAGAATTGGGTTGGAAATCTGTATACTCGCAAGAACTAATTTCCGAGTATTTCATGACGTGCCCATTCTAAAAGCGTTTAAATGGAAAGTGCGATCTTTCCGAATTTCGTAAAATTATTCTGAAAATTTCGTGCTTTTCTCGGCTTTTAGATAGTATTTTGTTGATCATTTTTTGAAAATTGTTTATGTTTGTATTGGTAAAACAACAAATATTGTATTTTTATAATTATTTCTTTTCAGAATATTTAGAATGCTTGAAGCCCGTATTTCGTAAATCGTTGAAGACAACGTTGAATTATATAAATTTAATTCCCCTAAAGTATTAGAAATATATATTAGTATATACTCACATCTTGTAATATCGCAAGTAATTTTCCTGCTTGTACACGTATAGGATCTGGTTTCAAGTTTAGGTAACATTATCCCGTTTGCTAGCTCAGTGTCTTCAGCTGAGTAGGCTATTAGAACATCATTAGTTTTACCATCATAATCTTCTATTGCATAGCAATTGTCTTTAACTAACGCCTTCACTTTCGGACCATACTTCCTATTGAGGACGATGATGGACATTATTAATGTGGAGACGATCAGACAAGCGATGGTGATTTGCTTCCAAGGAAACGGGTTGGGGTCGATATAAAATACGGCTGCATCTGCAAATGATTTTCATTGTAACATTTTATAATTCTCGAATATCTTTGGAATCAGATGATGTTTGTTAAATACGTTTTAAACGACAAGAAAGAAAAATTTGATTTTTAGTACGCAAGTGTAACTGGATATTCTGTTACACAAAAATTAGGATTACAATCGCAAAAATAGTTGATATCACATGAAATTTGGAACGTGCGGATGCAATTTTCTTTCTCCAAAAGAGCGCAATAATAATAGAGGTGTTGAAAAAAGCTAGTTTTGATTGATAAAATTTATTCCAAATTAGCAACTTGCACCCGTAAGTAAATGTAAAATGAAAAGCAATTTTCAAATTTATTTCGTTCATTTAGTCTTTAATACAGGAGCGTATTTACAATTACCGGACATACACTTAAAAAATTAAGTACTTTTTCAAACAGATGATAGTTACTATTACTATTTAATTGTAAAAATAGCAAACCCCATGACTTCATAATGATAAACACAGTAGTTGAGACGTCTACAGAGTATAAAGTTACCACAAATGCACCGACACGTCGAAACAATACTTTTCTAGCTTAGAGTTTTCATTTACCCAGATAAATTAATTTTAGAGACTTTTTGCTGGCTAATAAGTAGATAATTAATTAAATTGCGTCGAACATATTCTCCATACATGATATAAAATATTACCTCTGATGCTAACTCTTTTCTGAACTGAAACTCCTGGCTTGCTTATGACACAAACGTAAGTACCAGCATCTTCAAGTTGGAAGCTTTCGAACTTCAGATATGTTCCGAAGGTTTGTCCATCTTCCCTATAAAAAGCCAAAACATCGGATTAAAGCGCATACATGTAGGGCGATTTGAATTTTGTACAGTTGCTCTTGGAGATGTTGTTGAGGGGCACTTGAAAGTTTTAAGGTGAAGGTGAAAATGTCCAAAGCGTTAGGAAAAAGTAACTATAGCACTGTTTCAATTAATACTACATTTTTGCGGAAGATTTAAATGGTTGCCTTCCATTAGTGGCTTGTGTATCAAACCCGAAACGGTATTTAAATACGGTTGCTTATATGCATATACTGCAATTACTTCAGCATTCAGAAGATCAGTTTCGGAAACTTTCATTTTCTCAGAAGAATATGTTTTCGTATCATAACAAACACATTGGTTCGCACATCAATTATGAATAAAATTGGCCCTGTTCAGAGTCTCCCAGGGGCGTTAAACTTGAGGTGGTTCTTGCGACATTGTTATAAGTTTTAAATTCTGAATTCTGAAAAGAACCATTTTAAAACTAACCAAAAATGTGACGTTGTTAATAATTAAAACAATTTTGTTAAAACTATTATTTATTGATTTGTAAAAAATGTATTTATTTTTTACGGCGTGCGAAATGGAGGATGTGAATTGCTAGCTACTGCATGCGAATCAACGCACGTTTAAAAAGATCATCAGATGTGATGTTTAAAAAGATGAGCAACATTTTTTTACCTAATTTTTATAAATTCCATAAAAACGTTTCGATAAAAAATAACCAAACTGTGTTTCGTACGTAGCGCACTCTAGCAGATATCTTCAAAATAAGTTTAAATTCAAATTTGCTACCATCAAGCAACCATGTTCCAACTTTTTGCGAAACTTCAAATAATATTATAGAAGCCACGAAATAGATTTTAAATTGAAATATGATAGAGCCATATTACTAAGGCGTTTTATTATAACATCTAAAATCTGAAGCTACACTATAAAGTATTCATATGAAGTACTTTTTATATCCATACAAATATATACATGCTCCCTTGATTACGATAGGAAATAATGTACATACCTCAATGTTTTTTCTTGGTATAATCGTTTGGGTAGTTTAATTAGAGTTCCATCCGCAAGTTCCTTGTGCCAAACTGCTTCATTATATGCATCAGGTAGGTCAACTGTACCTGCAACCGAAAGATAAAATTATGAACAAATTCTACCGTTAAGTAAGGTCCATAATAAGAGAATGAATGAAGTAACTTAGTGGATGACGGTTTGTAGTATTGACATTTTCTCGGAATAAGATTTTTTTGTACTATCTTCCAAATTTTATTTGGTTTTAATTTAATTATAATTTGTATTTTTCAATATTAATTGTATGTGTAGTTTGTTTATTGTAATTTTTATTTCTTCACTTTAAATTGCCAATTTAGTTTGGGTTACCATAACGTCATAAAATTAATTTTCACCTGAGCACGGAAATATGTTTAAACATAAACCAAATCTTAAATCAATTTTTAGTGTTTTAAATACTTTTCGTCAGTGTTAAGTTGTGTTAAGAAATATATGGGTGAGACAAAGCTGAATGTGATATATTTCAAGACCCACCTCCAAAAGCTTCACAGAACAGCCGCAACGAATCTCCCGTGTGTGGGATCATGTCTGGAGAGATAAACGTAATTTTTGGATCATCTGGCGCTTTATCTAGAACAAAAAAATACATGTTACGACAATTTTTGAGCACAAGCAATTGAACGGAAAATTTAAATAAAATTGATTTCTATCACAATACAGTGGTAATGCCGGTTGCTGCATAGACGCTGCGATGCTGCGCTTGTCCATAATACTTACATAATTTCTGTTAGTATAAGCAGAGATTAGTTGATGCTACTAATCTCTGGTATAAGTAAGTATTTTTATTACCAAAAAGTGTAATTTGTAATAAAAGTTTAAATAAAACTCCAAAACAAGCAAAATGGAATACAATTTTACTGCATATTCAAATGATACCTAAAAAATTAGAAGGTTTCTCTCTAAAAATCTAAATCTAAACGCTTGTTTAATTTTAATTTCCTAAGATTTTACTTTCAAGATCATTATACCATCTTACTTCGCAACTAGATCCTTTGTCATTTGTATTTTTTGTCTCGGCCCTGCACTATACCTAGCGTAAAAAATATCCTAGATTTTTGCACGAAAGTTGTTAATAACGATAATTGTCATTTCCAGCTCAATGTAGAAACGCTGATAAACTCGAAGAAAATTCAAATTTTTCTAATTTCGAATCATTATCTTAATTTTGTAGAAATAGTCGGCTTTATGTTTTAACATGGATGCAAACGGTGCAAAAAAAGTGAAATGATAATCGAAAAGCGGAAATCTTCATCATGCTCTTTAGGAAAGACAGATTATCAAACTGGCGCACTTTAGTTTGAAAATAAAACTACAAAAACTCGAAGTCATCTTTATAATTGTTTGAAATTTACTTTACTAGATTATGGCTGAATTAGCATCTGTTTATTGGATAAATGAGAGAAATTAAAGTTCCATCAAGTTTGGTGGATTTTTTGAACTGGCTCATCAAGGGCATGATGAGAGCGATACTTCTGAGAGTCCGGAAATGTTTCGTGGATTAATACATTTTTACATAATTATGACATATGCTCTCAACGGCAAGTAAATTTAACGTTTTTGGAAATGCTTAATTCCTGAAAAATTTAATGTATAAAAACCCATTTATACCGTTAAGTAAGTTCTAAGTCAAAATTCGCCTAACCAACTGATTGTACAGAGTTAGGGGAGAAGTGATAAGCGAACAACAAACATGCAGGCGTTCAAGCACTAATTTAAATAATCATTTTGCTCACTATGTACATTGTCATGTTCAGCAGGGAAATTTGATTATGGCTAGAGCTGCTTTCGCAAATAAGCAATTATGTGCACTTTTTTCTGAATTTACAAGACATTCCTGGCGTTTTAAATAATTCATTCGAACGCCTAGAAATGTTGATCAAGATTGTGAACAGAAGGATTCCCCACGGCGCTACAACTGATTGGAATTTTAATATACAAACCATTAATGTTGTGTTTGAAATAGAAACGCTCTCATTAATTGTTTGCATAATAGAAGATTAAATCACCCACAACCCATTATTTAGTGCAGCCGCTTCTATTCGCTGTACTTTTAAATTTTCCGATGTTCAATTTTTGGCTCACTTTCTTACGTCATGTTACCTACCCTACGTAGACATATTTTTTAGCCATTTGGAGCAAGGAACAAACAACCCTACTAAATTAAAATTAAAATACTAATTAAAATAGAAAAAGTAAAGCTATCGTACCTACATGCAAGAGTAATTTTGGCCGCGGAATTTCTGCGCAGACGTACTACTTTTTCTAAACTTTGTAATCGCAAACAATCGAGAAGGTGCGTTGAAGAGGACAAAAAAATTATGAAAAATTGTAGTAAGAACAATGACATGACTCACGACAACATCAGCTAAATCAAGACACAACAGCAATCCGAAAAGGAATGCAAACGTTTCCTCAAATTCAATCGTTAAATCGTTTAACAGCTCTTTCCATGATAACTTGTTGCAAACTTTACTTTAAAATTTTACTAGAGGCGCCACCAATACTAGCAGCAGCATTGATTTCCTATTCCTCACAAAACGTAGTAGCGGATGGAATCCCCTGGATGATCAGGGGTGGAATTACCAAGAATAAGCAATAACACAAAATTGTGTTTATTAAACCTTATATCTACAGTTGCGGATGTTAAAAGCATCAGAAAAAAGTTATTTCCTATGAAACTAGCATCATCATGGTCCGGAATATTTCGAATTCGCAAAATTCTATCCGATCGTAACCATATTCAAAAAGTTCTTGTCAAATTTGTTATTTGTCTTAGAAAATAGTTGTTCACTTCACAGAACTTGTAGAAATATTTGTGATTCTAGCGACTTTTGTAATCGATAGGTTTCAATCAGCAACTTATAACTCGATTTCGTGGATCAACATGGTGACGAATGAAGCTATTCAACAGCGTGCGAATAAACAAAGAGAGGTGTACCTAATACCGTAAAAAGAAGAAAGTTGGCGTACTTTCCCACGTAATGAGAAATTATAAACATGAACTGTCCACATTATCATCCAAGGAAAAATAAGCGTGGTCCTGGTCGCCGAAGGACACCTTGGCGCAAAACTCTGCGCCAATGGTATGGAGTAAAGACCACGACACTCTTTAGGTCGGCTGCGGACAAAGTGAAAATCATGCGACTGATCGCCAATGCTCAGGGAGGACACTGCACTTGAAGAAGAAGAAGAACTTATAACTAATTTATAACATTTGGCTCAGTACTATTTTCGTTACATACTGACTCCATTTCTTCAAATTTACGCTCTGTCCAAGAGCGTTCTCTTCTTTTGCACACTATTCCGTTATATCATGACTACTTCGTTTTGCAGTGGATTACTTTTTCCTCCTCCATAGAATATATATTTCTCCCAATGTAATTTAATTCCATTCGATATAACAGATTGCTTTATTTGGACATGCACTCACTCACTACTTGATATGCAAGATTTGCATTTAATGGATCAACAAACCAGATCTAGTTCGTGTTTATTGAACAGGAAACGCGCGACACAGCCTGATTGCATTATTAAACAAAACATAATATTCCATACAATAGGCCTTGTTTTACTGGGTAGGTGTAAAAGCCTAGCAATAGGCGGTCTACTAAAACGCATTAAAATGAAATTATTCGGAATTTATGCAGAACATTCTGGTCCAACTGTGCTGAAACGCACCTGTGCCTCGATTTAGACCTCTTAAGCAAATGCATGCACATAGTCATTGAATGGCAAAGATTCGCGTCGTGATTCAAACAATTTCCATTATTAGTCAAAATTTTCTCTGCTATGCTTTGAACGGAGTATTTAATCGGAACTCAAAATTGAAGGTAAATATATTGTAGATAAATTACAAAAATGGGAGGGGCGATTAGCTCTGACCAGCTGGAAATGTGGAAAATGTTGAGAATCGATCATTTGTGGTCTTGGGTAAAGCGACTTCTGATACGATTACAAAGATTTCAGGAAATATATTTCTTTGGCTTTTAACGTGCCTAAATAAATACAGTTTAATTAATGCCAACTTTTGTTGTGAGTATCGAAAATTTAAGGAGAATATTTCTTTTGTTAGAGATCCAATTTGAGTTAGTTAAAAAAAACGGTGAGAGCTGTTGAATGCAGTCTGATGTTTTCAATGGGTCTTGACTATTGCACCCCTCTAAGCTAAGTAATAAGAAAATTTGTGTTCCTCGGTATAAAACCATCTTTTTGGTTGTAGTAAACCTGGTCAAGAATCTGTAAAAAAAAACGAAAATTTTCACACCCTCTACTTCGATAACTACGGACAGATGACCGCCATCGGCATTGCTGGCACATATGTATGTACTGTTTTCGTGACATTTTCATTTGACTATTGCTCGTAAATCTGGGGATATTTCAGTGCTGAATTTTGTATTTAAACGCATTAATTGTGGTGGGTTTGTTGACATGAACTTGTGACTTTAAAACTACCCAAAGGCAAAAGTCTAACGGCGTTAAGTTTCTTGATCTAGGCGGCCAATTGCGACTTTTTTTTTGGACCGACGAAAATTTAACAATAAAAAATGGCCCGACATGGCAACACGAAACAGTTATTCTTTTTGTATACAAATTTTGGTACAACCACTAATGGATTTTCGGAACCTCAAATGCGAAAATTTTGTCAACTAACAAATCAGTAGGTATATATGATTTTTGCTTAAAAACCTTCATGGAATTGTGAATTGGTCATCACGATTGAATTTATTGTCTTTGGCCCAACTGCATTAGTTCTTAAGCGAACCACTTTGTAGGCATGAAGTTTGAATGATTTTCCTAAAATTCTATGTCTAGTGGTTGTAGAAGCACAAGTGTCCTGAGCTCTAACCGAATTAAATTGTTTTTATTTTCGCCTCATGAACAGAGCCAGTTTAACTTGATTTTTTCCATTAATCTTCTCGCCGTGGCTTCATTTGGAGCATATAATTGGGCACATCATTTTACGGATTTTTCGAACTGCTGCTGCTAAACTTTCACCACATTGATAATATTTTCTCCATAATGAGAATTTGTTGTGGTGTATTGTAGCGCCCCGTTTTGGTTAACCCCCTGCTGTCGACTAACGAAAAGCTATTTATTTTTAATGCCAAATGATGACTTTACGAACTTTACGGGCTTTTGCCATTGGCTGCATGACAGAGCAATGCAATGTTGATAAGCCGATACCAAACTTCCTAAACTACACATTTTCAGAAACTCATAATTACATGATCTCACTTTTCTGCATAAATGTGCCTAAATTTCGTTGATACAGCGTTTATTCATCTCGTGTTATACACGGGGGTTTGAGGCTTGTTTTTATAGGCATATAACTGTATAAAAAGAAATCTAATGGTCTCATCATCCTCATGAGGTTCAGCCTCATTTTGATAAAGTAGGCGTAATTTTGACGATTAACAACGCCATAAAGTTGAAAATGTTCGTTATCGTTTAGGATGATTTTACTCGGAAAATCATCACCTACTTGTTGATTTTCAGTGCTTCATTTAACGTGTGCTCTAGTAAATTAATACAAACACACTTGCACATTGACAAACCGTTTAGGGTAGCCACAACTTGCACCAAAATTTATTTTATTCAATAATTATTATTTTTTTGAGCCAACAATATAACCGTTCAATTATACATTTTGATCCTTACCCACCTATCCACAGTCTACGGGCCTAAACAAATGAGAACCAATATTAGTCCTAAGTACCTGCTTTATAATTAAATACAAATACTTGTGAAATTTATAATTTAGTATTAAGTGACATAATATAATTGCTTAGTCGAGGGATCAGACCAGCCTACGCATTTCCGGCAAAATCCGTGGAGTTCAGGTGTGGTGTTGGGAAAGGCGATACTTTATGCAATTTTTCTTTCTCGTTGCTGACATGTGGTACTGTGAAACACCTTGTAGAAATGTACGTAGGCTACGCTCTATTTGATTTCCATACAATCTGGTATTATTATAAATTATATTTCGTATTATAACAACCCCATGAGAATTGGATTTAGGAAACAGCACAAGAAGCTTCAGTATAAGCTCTTAATTTACTACATACAAAAAGGTATTTTAATATTCAAACACAATGATTACACATGCAGTTGATCAGAAACAGTCAGTTGCGCGTTAATGTAGCGGCACTTACTGTTCTGTTGTAGTCCGGTCAAAATATGAATGGCATCAGACAAAAAAGAGAAAAAGCTTGACACATTTAATTATATGTATAATCTATTCCTGTCCAACCCATATCAGTAAGCCACTTTGGAGTAAGAAGCTTTTAACAAGGTTCAGGTTTTTACGCCCAATAGAAAATTGTTTTGCATCCAAGCATGAAACAAAACATATTCACTCAAACATGCCTCTATAAATATTATAAACACATGTCGTAATGTCTGACAATCAAAATTCAACTCTGGACGTTTTACTTCACATTAACTTGTGACTCCCAACAAATGTAAACTATGCCTCTTAAAAAACCCGAGTCCAAACTAAAATTTACCAAAACCGATTTGAAAAAGTAACGTAACAAATATACGACGGACTACATACAAACACAAATTATTCAATCGCAGAATATAAACACAGAAAACCTCCAGCAACAATTATCTGACATTAAAAAATTATTTTGTGTACAAAGAACATGTTTTATGCCGGTATTAGACTACAGGCCGGCCAATAAAATGAGATCATCTTCTTAGCCGTCATACACCTGAATATTGTACGAACAATAAATTGATGCTATTTCGGAAAAACCAACTTAATTCAATTTAAATTCAAGACAATTCAAAGACAATAAATAGGGCCAGTCACCAGATATGAGTGCAAAGCGTGCGATAGATTAATTGAAAGTGAATTGATTGAAGTGAATTGGGTTTATTTGTTGTTTGCTAAATGTGCAATGACTATGTTGGCAGGGATTCTTGAAATAAAGTGACAAGAAATTAGGGACCATTTTTATTATTTATTTTATTATTAACAAAACTAATAAAAACAATTAGTCGCTTCTTTCGAGGCATATCTAAGCCCCAACAATTTGGCTCTTGGTTTATGCGCTATGATCTACAATCGTTACAAACACAAAATAGCAGAACTATAATATGTATTGAAATGTGTTGCACGCTCTCCCGTACTATAAAAACTGAGTTGTTAAACAAATTATGTGTAACATTAGTTACGTTATTTGCGTATTCAGTATTTATAAGATTGAAATTGGGGCAGGTTAATATACAGAACTCCTCTTAGAAGTATATCCTTCGTCTAAAATTTGTCTAGCAGTTACTTACCAAAAACATTTAGTATGGTTTTGTGACTGTAAATGATATCGTGATTTCTCTGATCATCCCTCAGCACACAAGTGTAATTTCCTGAATCTCCATGCCGAACATTTGCAGTGTATATAGTCTGATTGGCACTTTCAGGAAAAATAACCAATGTGGATAGATCCAAACTCCATGGGTACGGTCGACCATCTTTATACCTGCAACAAAAAAAAGAAAATATCGTAGGTGCTCAGCCAAAATAATACTAACAAATGTCTTCATCGCCTAACAAAAGCTTCTTTGTCCATTCAGGTCTTGTTAAGCAAAGATAATCCAGAAGTAGGAATAGTAGTCTTTTTCCGGACATGTTTGTCGGTTTGTATCTTTTTTGTTTGTTGCATTGTGTAGTGGATTTCTCAGGTGAATAATTCAGAATTACAGAAAGTTGCATGCAAATAACTGTTCTGTTTTTCGCATAACTGGTTAATTTGTTTGTGGCGTTTGCAAGCAAAATATGGCCGTAATTCAATAATGATCTCGGATCGGATATATGTTAGTATACCTGTCATAAAATCAATACCCTTGTTAAACAGTAAGTGTGAACACCTCAAACACTTTATGTCTAATCATCGAAGCGGTTTTTAGCGTCTTCCAAGATGTTAAATGGTAATAAAACTCCAATGTTTCACCAGTAACTTTTTAACATCGATCATGTCCTTTTCATTTATAGGAAATGGCTCTTTATCACAGCACTATTGAGTAGAGGCGGGCTTTCATTATTTTATTTCAATATTTTTAAGGTATGATGTATGGGTATGGGAAATAAAACCATCTACAATTTCCCAGGTTATCACATATCCAAGACTAGAACTTTTACAGAGAAACTACCTGTAGTTTGACACAGCAAAAGTTTATTTTCTGGGATTAGCACCACTAGTTAAAGTATTCCTATTCTCCTGGGATGTAAATTCGTGCCTTCTGAAAATCATTGTTACACAACGAAAATTTCAACTTCAAATTAAAAGTTTATTCATATTCATTATAAATTAACAACAGTCTATCCAATAACTAATGCTATCCCAAAAGCTAATCAATCCAAAAATTCTAGCGTCAATGTAAAAGCGTGTATGTGTAAAAGTGTGTAAAATTCCAACCCAGAAACGAATATCCTCTTATTAAAAAATTATTAATGGCTTATTTTCTTAATGCTGCAATGAGAGTAAAAATCGGTTAAAATTTTTAAGTTTTTTGTGGTCTTCCAAATTTGAGATTGAAGTTTTTATTATAATATTTTAGGTATAATTCAAATTTACTAAATTTTCTAGCCCTGTATATTTCTCCAAAAAAGAAGACTGTAGTTTCGTTTCATTTAAAGATTCATCTAAATAATAAACGGTTTTAACTGGAAACGACTCTATGTGTCCTTTAACTTTGACGTTGACCCTGAACCCTGAACTTACCAATGTGATTAGCATGAAGACTTATGCATGCGGGAGTTCGAATTGAATGTTATATAACAAGTATGAAAAATTCGATTGTTTTCTTGTTTAGGTGCTTCACTTCTTACTCAATAGCTTAGAAGGTGTTTAACTTACATGAGTCCCTGCAAATATGTATCTTGTTGGTTTTTTGGCCTACCGTCTTATAGATTAGGTATTATTTCTCTCTTTTCCTGCTCAGCTAACAGCTGCGTGCATTCTGGTGTAAAGCTTTAAAATATTGTTGTAACTACCTTAATATTCAAGCTAAAATGCTTTGACCTGCTTGCACGGAGGTCCCTACTGCCCTCGCTTGAACATATTTTCCTATTGTAGAAACATACGCCTCACTATGCAAACGTGCTGTTTCTATTTCTCTATATCACGTAGTATCTCATTCCCCACTATCACCGGATGACATGTCTTTTGTTAAAAATGGAAAAATTACAAGAATTCCGCAATTTATTGCATGTATGTGCTGGTAAACAAGCAACTGCTGATATTGCATGTTACTGAGAATTGGGGTGAAAACATGTCACGGACTTGTACTTGTACTCCTCATCAGTACTAACATCTCAATAGAACGGACGGAGACATTAACGGTCAAGTAAATCGTACGGTTTTTACGCTCAATCCATGAGGGAACATGTTTAAAACACAATTGCTATTCTACTTTAAAATATCAAATTTTGGACTTGTACGGTTTTCGAACTCATCGATTCAATTAGTCATTGCGTCTTGCCCGATAAGAGGGGTGTCGTCAATATATTGCAGCAATTACGCGATTTACTTTCATCTGTTTTGCTTGTACAAGTCATAATAATCATCTGTTTTGTTTGTTACAAGGTTGTAAAACAAGCGTGATATTGGCCAAAACTAAAGGAGATCGATCTTTTGGTAGCTGATGCTGCTGCCTACGTTTGAGCGTATTGGCCCTTCAAAAGCCTGGTGAAAATGCCAGCGAAATTGTCAGTCTTGGCTTTGTAAACACTCCTATTCATTGGTATTTTCAATTGAACTTGGAGAGCTTTACTTTTTTACAGTCTGATGCTCCTTTGTCCTATTCGATTTCTTTTCGTTTGAATTATTTGCGCTGTCGCTCTTGAAATATCATCGTTTTAGTGCATCTGTTTAAGTTATTAAAACTGAATGGTCTGGTTGTAATTTGGTACTGCTTGTATAGGCCTGGATAACACTGTGTTGAGTTGCGCTTTTCAGTTGTTGCCGCTATCTCAGTTGATTAGTTATAACTCATTTGTTAAAGTGGATTAAAGATTTACGAGAGCCGATACTGGAACTGTAATATCTAAAAGTCACTTTGTCCAAACTAAAACAAGGTCACCTCACATTTTAAGTAACGTTTTTCCAGCAACGGAATTGAGTTAGTGCGCCGGTGCGTTGAGTTGGCGCACCAAGCGATTTGCGCGTCACTGCGTCCTACACCTTCACTGAGTTGCCCAGGCCTATTTACAAATTTCAGTTTTGTTTACTTTTCCTGAATATAAACTTGATTACAGTATGCTGATAGACTGTTTTTCAGTTGCGGCAAAACCTTTTAAATATTTATTGAAACTTGGCCTTGTAATTTTATGTGGTCATGTGTGTGTAATTTCACTCTGATGAAATGGTTACTTTTATCCCTGTTTTTAACAATGTATTAAGTATTAACAATGTCTGTGCTAGATACAGGATGTTTTCAAGTTCCCATTACAAACCTCTAGTTTTAAAATAGAATATTTTTTGGTAATACACCCGTCCGAAATACACCCATCATTTTCATGGCAATATTCGGTTAGTGCTGAAAGAAGATGAAGTAATTTGTTCTTTAGTAATCCTCAGTTGCTCCAATAAAAATTCAACCGGGGATGACTCTGTTTAGTGACGAATCTAGTTTCACAAGCTACAGCCTATATACCCAAAGAATTCATATATATGAAAAATACATATGAAAGAGTCATTTGGTCATATGAACACCCTCACGTTACCACTTCCAAATTTTCGGCCAACATTTGTGTCAGCATAAGTCTGCACTTCTGCAATATCAGAGCCCATCTCAACATTGGAACCTAAGTTGGATAGGTGAGGTTGTGTGGCTTGTACGATCATCGGACTTGAACCCCATGGACATTTTGGTGTGGGATCATATTATATATGAGAGCCCAGATCTCAAGAAAGAAGCATTAATTTTCCGAACTCTAGATGCAGCTTACTTACGGACAGGCCTGGTATTTTCGCCAAAAATATGAGATGAGAACTAAGATGTAAAGATTGCATATAATCTGGTGGTCATCACTTCACACATTTTTTTGTGTGATTTTTGTGTGAAAACTGTGATCAATAAATATATTTTTTGCTAAAAACTGCAATTCCTTTTTTGTACAAACGTCTATGTGTCCGAGGAAAGTGTGGCGGTACTTAGTAGTTATGTAAGTGTCCATGATGAGCTTGAAAGCACTGGTTTACCAACGCAAAGCTGCATTTCCGGACATTAGTTCATTATCAAAAAGTTTGCTCCTTTACAAAACCGAGAAACACTATGTATATTTTTAGATAATATACTCGTACGTTTCAAACATACAGACACGACATAATGACATCATGTCAGCGGAATGCACAATCAACTTTTTCTCTATGCAAAAATATGTTTACGTGGAAAAAAGTCTCGTTAATGAAATTCAGTGCGTCTCAATTCAATGCACAAATTCTTTGAAATATCGAAAGCAATTTTTAATATTGATATACGGGATGTTTGCAGACCGTAAACCATGTGTATTTTATCTGTTTTCGTCCAAACATTGCGATTGTCTCGACTGGTCAAATACAGAGCCGTGATGGATCTTCGGACGGTCAACAAATCTTTATGTTTCCTCCGTGAACGACAAACCAATTGCTTAACAATGGTAATTGGACATCTTGTGTACGTTTCTCGAGACCCTTGATGAATAACGATAATTGGTAAAATATAATTTCACATCCTGCTTACTTTTAAAAATTTTACATTCACATGTTTAGGCTATCAATAAGTTATTAAATAAAAATTAAAATTAAATGAAAATAAATGTGCTTAGGTTTTTGACTGAACTAAAAATTTACATGCCCCAAAATTTTATTAATTTTGTCAGTTTCTCACATTTTTCAATCAATCTTAAACGGGAATTTTACATTAACTGCTAAAAATGTTGAAATCGATTTAGAAATTTTATTTTTAGGAACCTTTGCAGAATACAATTTTTTTTATAGAATTTTTGTGGCCCAAAATGTGTGTTTTTAATGGAAACCGCTGTATTTTTCGCTTCACAACATTGGTCTTGATAGTAGACAAGACTATTTGGATCTCATATTAAAGTAATGATTATAAAATGGTGAACCTGTTGCATCTGTAGTAACCTCAGTACCTATGATTTAAACAATAAGCTGTTCAGTTGTAGCCACTTTAAGGCACTTTCACTTTATTGGAAAAATCAATTTGCTTGTAAACACACAACACTATAAATTCCGTGCGTCTAATGTGTCGAAAAGCTGAACGATTTGAAGTCTCTCCGAGGAACGAAAACTTTATGCAGGTTCGACATTGATATAGATTTTAAATTTTCCAAAAAATTTAGCAAAAGTCTAACTTTTTGCCAAATGATCAGCAATTTTGAAAATAATATCGCCAATTTATAATCACTGAACAATATAATCTCAATTCCCGATAGTCAAAACATGTTTCGCATTATGTGAACTTACTCTGTTTTTAA